TCAATCAGTGTAGGGGATGGACATATTAACAATGTTGAGTCTTCCTGCCCAAGAATATGTTAAATCTTTGCATTTATTTACTCTTTCTTCAAAGTCTTTGAATAAAGTTTTATAATTTTCTTCTTAAAGGACTTATTTCTAAGAACTTTCTTTTGGTTACCTTTTAAAGATATCTTTACAAATCTTCATTTTCTAATTTCTTGTGGCTAATGTATAGAAATATACTTGATTTCTATATGTTGATTTTGTATATTGGTTTTACCTAGGAACCAAGTAAAATATTTATTAATTCTATTTATTTGTAGATTCTTTTCTTTTTTTTTTTTTAAAGATTTTATTTATTTATTTGAGAGAGAGAGACTGAGAGAGAGAGAGCACATGAGAGGCGGGAGGGTCAGAGGGAGAAGCAGACTCCCTGCCGAGCAGGGAGCCTGGTGCGGGACTCGATCCAGGGACTCCGGGATCATGACCTGAGCCGAAGGCAGTTGCTTAACCAACTGAGCCACCCAGGGGCCCTGTAGATTCTTTTCTACATAAGTAATCAATTGCCTGCAAATAAGAGCACTTTTTTTTGTTATTTCTAATTCCTATACAGTTTTTGCCTTTATCTGGTTTTATTGCACCAGTCAAGATGTTCAACACAATATTAAATAGGAGCGGTGAAGCTGACACACATATCTTGTTCCTGATCTTAAAGAGAAATGGTAAATATGAGGTCTGCTGTAGGTTTTTCATAGATACCTTTTCTGACATGTGTTTTCGAACACCACCAATTCTCAGCAGATACTGGCTGGGTGTCCCCCGGATTTTTTTTTAAGATCTAATTTTTTTTTTTTAAAGATTTATTTATTTATTTGAGAGAGCGAGAAAGTACATGAGAGGGGGGAGGGTTAGAGGGAGAAGCAGGCTCCTCGCCGAGCAGGGAGCCCGATGTGGGACTCGATCCAGGGACTCCAGGATCATGACCTGAGCCGAAGGCAGTCGCTCAACCAACTGAGCCACCCAGGCGCCCTAAGATCTAATTTTTTAAGTAATCTCTACACCCAACGTGGGGCTCAAACCCACAACCCTGAGATCAAGAGTCGCGCTCCACCCACTGAGCCAGCCAGGCGCCCCAATGGTGTCCCACAAACTTAACTCACTTCTGACACTATCTACCTGGGGAGAGTGTCAGATCGCACAGGTTTACGGCTCATCCCACAAGACTATCCCTGCTTCAGATGCCAATCACAAGTCCAGGTTGTCACGGACTATAATTTGGAGTTCCCACCACCCCTTCCTCAGGTTTAACTAATTTGCTGGAGAAGCTCACAGAACTCAGGAAAACCAGTTTACTCACTTCATTACTAATTTATTATCATAGGATATTAAAGGATACAAGTGAACAGCTGGACAAAGAGATACCCAGAGTGAGGTCCAGAAGGGTCCTGAACACAGGGGCTTCTGTCCCTCTGGAGTTTAGGGTGGGTCACCCTCTGGGCACGTGCATACATCATGTTCTCATTCACCAACCTTGAAATTTCCCATACCCCATAGGTCAGGGACTTTTACAGGAGCACATAATTGATTAAATCATTGACTGTTGGTGATGGAACTCAATCTCCAGCCCCTCTGCCTCCTTAGGGGTCAGGGGGTGAGGATGAAAGTTTCAACCTTCTAATCACCTGGTTGGTTCCGTGGGCAACCAGCCTCTACCCTCAGGTTACCGAGGCGCTTTCCAAGAGTAACCTCATTAACCCAATGAGGGGTGATTGAAAGGGGCTGTTATTAATAACAAGGCCCCCCATTTCACCTTTATTGCTCTGAAGCTACTTCAAGAACTAAGGGCAGGAGATCAAATATTATAACAAAAGATATTCCCTTTGTTCTTAGTAGGAAATTCCAAGGGTTTGGGGAGGTGGGGCCAGGAGCTGTGGATAAAGACCAATACATATTTCTTATAACCCACAATATCACACACATACACCCTTTTCCTCATTAAATCCTCCTCAAGCCCATCCTGCTTGTTTTAAAGTTATAACTTTATTATTCTCTTCTGTACTGGACCAGGTGCCTTATACATTACCTCATTTAATCTTTACAATAACCCTTATGAAGTAGGTATTATTGCTTCTTTTAGAGAAATTAAGGGAATTTTCTTTTTTTTTTTTTAGATTTTATTTATTTATTTATTTGAGAGAGAGATCACAGAGGGAGAGGGAGAAGCAGATTCCCCACTGAGCAGGGAGCCTGATGCGGGGCTCCATCCCAGGACCCCGGGACCATGACCTGAGCAGAAGGCAGGTGCTTGACCCACTGAACCACCCAGGTGCCCCTAAGTAACTTTTCTAAAATAGTATTGCTGGAAAGGGATTGAGCAAGGTTTGTCTAACTTTGCAAGCTCTGCTTTCCCCAGAAATCTTTGCCGCCTTCTCCTCGGGTTGAAATCTATTCCAGTAAAGGGAACTCTGTGAGGATGAATCAGAGCAGTTGATTTGAACAGAGGAGACTGTGAGGAGAGGAAGTAAAGAGAAATGGGAACTTAAGTGGACAGTGAGCACCCCCTCCCCCGGCACATGATGCGGAATTTGTGGGAAGCAGGCATTCCACCTTCGCTGCCTGGGTCACCTTCACATCCAAATGTCTTCTCTCAAGACTCCCTAGGGTGTCTATAGCCATGGCAATCCAGATAATTACGGGCTGATGAGGGCCACACGGTGGTTCCCACTGCATGCCACGCTCAAGCCAATCACAAGTGCTCCCTTCCTTTTGTTTTGTTTTGTTGCTACCAAGTTGGCTCCCCTGATTACCACTTCCTAAAAATCATCTCACCATCCTACACATCCTGTGTTAAGCGCTTGTTATTCCTGCTACAAACTCTTGTTTAGCCTCTCATTTCCTTTGATGAAGAAGTAATAAATAGGAGATGGAAATCCACAGGGAAGTTGCATTCATTTGTTCAGCAAATATCGAATGAGAGCCTCCTATGTCTCAGGCACCATGCAAGGGGCTAGGGATATAGCAATGAACAAGACTGACAAACCCCACTGATGTTTACATTCGAGTGATAGAAGACAAGCATCGAGCAAATAGACAAATACACAAAATAACTGTGGATTGGAATAAGGGATAACCATGAAACAAATTGGGTAATGAGCTAGGGGGTAAATGGGCAGGACTTCTGAGACGGAATGGTCAGGGACGGCATCTCCAACACACACCGGAGTTCAGGGCTGATAGTTGAAAGAGACAGTGCGCCATATAAAGAATGGGAGGGGAGCACTGGGCAGAAGAATCAGCAGGTGCACAGGCCTGGGGCCGGGAAAATGCTTGGCAAATTTGAGGAACAGAAGGTCTGGCTGGACTACAGTGAACAGGAGAACAGACTAAATGACACTGGAGAAGGGCGGGGGAGCCAGACCACTGCAAATAGTTTGCATTTTATTCTAACTGCAGTGAAAAGTCCATGCAGGGTTTCAGCAGGGCAACGGCATGATCTGCTTTACTATTTTGAAAGATCACTTAGGTCACTGTGTGAAAAGTGGGTGGGAGAGTAAGAGATGAAGGCAGCATGCCTGGGGAGTGTCTTTTTTTTAACACAGTTTTCCCGGAGGCTCCACTCAGTGACCCTCCACCCTCCCCTGACATCCCATTGGTCAGGTGGTCAGCCCTAGCTGCAAGAGATACTTGAAAGGTGACTATTTTAGGCACAGGAAGGCAAAGGGAGCAATGGTTTGCGAATGGCTTTTGGGTAGCCAATCCGGTGTCTGCCAGTGGGGTCGTCTGCGTTATACTTAAAACAAGCCACATGGGTGGGGCCATTTTTATTGGGCTCGTTTATAAAGGGGAAGCAGTGTTAAAACACACAGAGCTCACAGGGCTTGAGTGCCAGGCTTCTGACCTCAAATTCAATGTGCTCTTCTCACTACCTTTCATTTTTCTGGGCTCTGCAAAAGGCCGACCCTAGTCACACAGCTCCTGCCGTGTCTCCAGGTGAACGATTCTTCCAACTTGGTGTTTAACGTCCAGCGTCCCTGAGCAGTTATCATGGCTGGGTGGGCACCGAGGGGAGGCCAGGCCATCGGATCAGACTTTGGAATGGAGAGAAGCCCTTTTAAAAACGAAAAGAAAAAATACGATCTTGGATGATACCCGGAAATACTGTTCCACCGAACAGAAGGATAAGGTCGAGACATCCCTTAGGGGGTGTGGAAGACAGTCCGTTGGAGTGTGGGAAGGACACTCACATCTTGTGTTTGTATGGCTATAGATGACACAGACATGGAGGGTTAGCACTGCTAATATTTAATACAGGAATTGACACGTTCCCTTTCAGTGGATTGTGACAGTATGTGCCTACAAGTGCCTGCTTAAGGGGATTTGCCAGTAATAGTGTCTTAAATGGTAAACTATAATTCTTTGTGATGCGATGGGGAGTATAAATGAAATTCTACTCAGAAAAACAATGGCTAATAACCATACATATGTCTTCACATGACCTTGCAGCCAGAATGTGGCGTTACAGATTATATGCAATGAGTATTTAACACAGGTACATTTTTTCCAGATTAAGGAACAATCTCTTTCATGCATTCTTTTGTGTCCTTCTCCCCCTTTTAACCAGTTAGGATGGTGATCTTTTCCAAGTAATGACATGACCCCGTGTTTTCTGTTGTGAAAATTCTGTTGGTGCACGAGGAATCAGAACGAGGGGAGTTCTCACGTCTCCATGTAATGTTTAATGCTGTCTGATAGACCCACAACACAACAGCAATTACCGGGCCAGTGGGACCAGGAAATTCAAGGAAGGCAATTACTTGGACAGAATTAGGATGGGTAATGTTGGCCTCTGGGACACTTGTTCTTCAATATGTTTATGGTCACTAACTTTCACTAACTTTCACTTTTTAAAATTTCTTTTTTCCTTTATCTTTTTATTGTGGAGATTTGGAAACATAAAAATACACAGTATAAAAGAATGACATCACCCCTCCCCCGCCGGGTACCCATCACCCAACTTCAATCATTAGTCACACAAGGTCATTATTCACACTGGTTTTATCTATACCCCCATCCCCTTTCTCTACCTCTTGTATTGGAATTTGAAGTAAGTTCCAAAATCCTGGTTGTTTCTTAAGATATTTTATGGAACCAAGTCCTGCTGGTTTGATAGCCATGTTATTCTTTCTCTGGTGACTGTAGATGTCTCTGCTCTGATCGTAAAATGGCTCCCAAAGAGCCATTTTTGAGTTCTTGGAGGAAGCCTATGTTCTGACAACAATTAGCATTATCATCAGGCAGAGTACATTCCACTTACTTTTATCTTTCCTTAATTACACAGGAGCATCATTCTCAGATCTCTGACAAGACTGCACTGTGACGCAGAAATGCCAGGCTTCCTATGTTCTGCCCAGGGACTCAACCCACGTGCCGGATCTCTGCCACTGGGGTCCGAGAGTCTGCGCGGTTAGCGAATTCTCAGGTGACTCTGCCCGCTCAGTTGGAAAAGCAATAGCTGAGCATGTTGCCAGAGGCTGTTCAAGTACATAGGTGTTTGAGCCATGGTGCCGAGAAAACCAGCCACATTTTCTAATGCTACTCCCTCTGCTCTCTCTTGCTGGCCCCCACCTCTCACGGGTCCGGAGGCTCTGAGGCTGGAAGGCTGACATTCCATGGTGGTTGCGTCAGGGAGGTTCTACAGAACAAAGGGCATGAACTTTGAAATAGCTATTGGCTGCTCAGCAATCACATGCTTTCAGATTTCTGGCTGTTTCACATAGTCATGGGGCTGTAGATCTTCCCTACATAAGTGGTGTTCCAGTACACACACACGCACACACGCACACACACAGGCCAAGTGCTAAATTTTGGATAGCTCTACTGTGTAAAGAAATTTTGAGAAATTTCTCTGATACCTCCATTCTACTGGGATAAGTTATTTTCCTTTTAGGGACAATTTTGGTAGGTATGGATGGAACAGAGCTCCCCCCAGTATATATCCCGCTCACATGGTGAGCTTGAATATGACTCCATTTTTTATTTTAAGCTACTTAAGATTCTCTTGTTTTGGAGAAACTATATCCCTCTGCCCCAACTATGAGCTAGATTCTAGAGATTAGAAGAAACTCGGGAAGCTGCTCATTGGTGAAGGTATCTTAAATACTTGCATTTGGTTCTGCATAGTTTGTGCATAAGGTTAACTAGAAGGTAATGTCCCCTGGTGATCCACGACTCTCTCACAACTCATGTTGACTCATAAAGAAAAAGAAGTGATAGGTTAGGGAAGTACAAGATTAGATTAATTCAGGACTAATGAATTTATAACCCGTGTTTTGCAGAAAACTGTGCTCTAGCCAGATAGAGATTTTAAAGAGCTATATGACGTGAAATGCTTTGGTTTGTTTTGAAAAATAAACAAGTTCTGTTCAACTTAGTTTACCGTAGGCTTCAAACGTGTTATTGGCTCTTTTGAAATTTGGGCTTATTTGAAACGTTAAAAAGTCCTGAAAGTGGTGTCTTCAGTTGGTTCATCAAAGTTCCACCTGATGATGGGGGTAAACTTCAGCACAGCGTTTATGTTTGTCTTTGAAATGTATTAAATCTTCCTTTTGCTTAAGTTCTTTTTGTTTTAGAGCTCCAGGTCTGAAACAGTACCAGATCCTTACCACAAGAGGGAGCTGGACCATGAAGAATTAATGGGTTGCTTTGGAACTAGAAATAAAAACAGGGCGAGTGCATGTGATTTGAGGTAAGACCGTCAGTAGGAGCTGTTGAGACAAAAGTTATTCCTCAAGTGATTACCCCATTCTTGCAGTTGTTTATACCAAAATTCAGAGTTAGCCTTGACTTTTCTAACTTCCCAACCTATTAAGCTTGTCCTTTTATTCTGTTACTTTGACTGACCCTGGGCTACCAATTCTTAGAGAGAGCAAATATCTCATGCCATTTATATGCCCAGCAACCACTGCGGAGCCCACACCACAACCAGCTTCTTTGTACACGGCTCTTACAGGCTCTTGCTCTCCAGGCCAATATCGCCCCAGGGCCAGGTACCGGGCAGCTAAAGACCCCCCTATACCCGAGAGCCTGTTGAAATTATTCAAAGGAATCAGTCCTAAACCTGCTTACCCTGCCTCACCTGTTCCTTCCCCCAAGATCATAATAAAGGTCCTTGTCCACGTTTTCCCCTGCTCCCTTGCGACTGACATTCATATTTCCCCATGTGACCTCCCCGCACCGCCCCCCTCCCACCAGCACCAATTCCACCATGGTGCCCTCTCCTCTGGGAACGGTGAGTCGCCAGGTAGCCAACTGTCTTTCAATGGCACTTGTCTCCTGGTGTGCTGGCCTCACCATACCTGAATAATAATAATATACACCTTTGAAAAGAACCCCATATCTCGTCTCTACAAATTCTATTGTCATTGGCTTTACGGCATGTCTGAGATTCAGCCACTTCTCCTTGTCCCTTCTGTTTGCCTCCACCATCATCTTGTCCTTCCTGCTGTCACCTGGCCCCACACTCACTGCAGTCTGTTCTCCACCTGTTAACAGTGAGAGTGATAGAGTGATCTTGGGATAGCAGGAAAGCAGCTCTTACCCTCTTCTGTTCAGAGCACTCCAATGGGTGGGCTAACAGCAATTAAAATTTTACAAGTGTTTTTGGAACCTATAGTAAACGAAGTTAGACAAAGCTGGTTTGTTTTGAAAAACAGACAAAAGTATTTGATATCATCTATTGATTTCCCATTACACTCTGAGTTAATCCACAAAGTCCTTAAAATGGCTTCCTGCTCCTCTTTTGAGCACATCACCCAGTCCAGTCCTCGCCATCCATCCTGGCCTCCTGGCTGTCCTTGGACACTCCACGCAAGTTCCCATCTCAGGGCTTGGCTCCTTGCAGCCCCTCCTGCATCTGGAAACTTTCCCCAGGCCCCCTGATTTGTGCTCTCCTTTCTTCAGTGAGGGCTCCCCAATCTTGTCCCTGAGCATCTCTTCCCACACTCCTTCCCCCTCCCCTGTCCCGCAGCATTTCCTTGGCCAGTGTCCCCACAAAGGCAGAGACTTTGTTATTGTTCACTGCTGGGTTGTTCATGTCCTAGAATAGTGACCGTTAGATGGTAAGGCTGAAGAAATCGATGTTGAACGGATGAGCAAACAGAGAACATGAGTTTTAAAATAAAGACACTCTAGCCCCGTCATTCTTACCTCAAATATTTGGAGATTGCTTCATATGCATCCAGGAAGAAACACTTGCTGGTTCCCAAAAGCCTGTCATGTAAGTGAGAAGCGAGCTGGATGCTTCACTCATTCAGCAGTCTACGCAGCGCACACTTTGGCGTGGCCTGTTGGCCTCCGTGTGGTGCAGAGAGGGGGGACCAGTGAGGGCGGGCCCGGAGAGTCAGGGGAGCTTTGCCGGGCAAGGCGTCTTCACTGGGGACTTCTCGGAAGGAGGCAGGCTTTGGCACTCTGAAGTAGTAGGGCCACGGTTAGTGAACCTGCACCACGCCTCAAACACAAACTTTTTCTTTTCTTTTTTTCCCCCAGGTATCATTATTCGTGCAATTTTACAAAAATTGTTAAAACTTACAAATTTACGAATAAAGAAAACTGAGGCACAAAGAAGTTATGTCCACAGTTAGGACATGACAGAGCTGGGTTTTCAACCTAAGGCGATTGCCAAAGCTCTCTTAACCATTACGATCCACTCTGTCCCATTCCTTCATTGAATTTCTTGAATGCTTACTGTGCGTCAGCTGTTGAAGACCCACCAGTGAATGAAACAGACTGAAATCCATGCCCGCCTGGAGCGGACAGTCTAGTGGGAGGAGACCATAAACAAGCGTGATGGATTACTAAATTAGATAGTAAGTTAGAAGGTGATGGGTGGTATGGAGAAAAAGAAAGGAAGGCAAACTGGTTTGGGGATTCTGGGGGGAGAAGGGGGTTGCAGTTTAGGTGGGGTGGCCAAGGTAGGCCTATTTCAGTGAGGACTTGAAGGTGGGAGGGAGCCAGGCAGCTACCCCGGAGGAAGACATGCACAGGTCTCGAGGGGGTGAGAGCCCAGCATTTCAAAAGACAGGGAGGTGCAGGTGACTGCACTGGAGGAAGGAAGAGGGTGGGGGCACAGCACGCATCACTCAGTCTCTTCAATCCCAGAGCACCCCTGTGCAGCAGGTTTTATCCACATTTGCTAGAGTCCAACCTATAGCCCAATGTCACAAAGACAGCGGCAAAGCCGATTAAAACCAGGCTGACTCAAAAGCAAACAATCCAATTAAAAAATGGGCAGAGGACCTAAATGGACATTTTTCCAAAGAAGACATCCAGATGGTCAACAGACACATGATAAACTGCTCAACTTCACTAAGCATCAGGGAAATGCAAATCAAACTATAATGAGCTATTACCTCACACCTATCAGGATGGCTAATATCAAAAAGATGAGAGAAAACAACTGTTGGCAAGGATGGGGAGAAAAAGAAAACCCTGGTGCACTGTGGGAGTGTAAACTGGTGCAGCCATTATGGAATATAGTATAGAGATTCCTCAAGCAATTAACATGAGAATTACCAAATGATCTAGCAATTCCCCTTCTGAGTATCCGAAGAAAACCAAAACACTAATTTGAAAAGACATTTGTGCCCCTATGTTCATTCCTGCATTATTTACCATAGCCAAGATATGGAAACAACATAAACATCCACAGATTGATGAATGGATAAATAAGAGGTAGTATATGTACACAGTGGAATACTACTCAGCCATAAACAAAAATGGAATCCTGCCACTTGGGACAACAGGGATGGACCTAGGGGGTATTATGTGAAGTGAAATAAGTCAGACAGAGAAAGACAAATACCATTTCATTTCACTTATGTATAGAATCTAAGAAAAAAAAAAATCACACACACAAAACAGACAAAAAAAACGGAAACAAACTCATAAACACAGAGAAAAAACTGGTGGTTGCCCGAAGAGGGCAGGGGATGGGCAAAGTAGGAAAAAAAACAAAAATACAAAGCAAAAAACCAGTCTGCCTGTTGAGCCCAGCTCCTTTCCAGCACATGGCCCTCCCAGTGCCACCAAGGACCGGCAGGAACGGGGAAGCCTTGTCACTGAGGGAGCTTCATGTGGTGCTGGTGAGGAATGGAAGATGAGATGCGATGGAGAAGCTACGACTGAAATCCAGGCAGAGGGGTCTGGGAGTTCTGGATCCGGGCAGAAAGTGGTGAGAATACAAGTAGGGGAAGCTGGTCTGGGTGTCCCATGGCTCGAGGAGGGACCACAGTCTGTGAGATCAGTTGATTGGCGCTAAGCAAATGAACAAGGGAAAGGAGGACTAAGGATATTAACGATGGCCTTAGCATGTCAAGGTCAGGAGGAGATAGGAGCTCCCACAACTGTGGTTAAGAGAATAGCCTGGAGCCCAGCCGTCTGGCTTCAGACTCTGCCTCTACCACTTCCATGACTATTACTTAATTGCAAGTTACTTAACATCTCTATGCCTCAGTTCTCCCTTCTGTGAAATGGGATAATAGCAGTACCTCTATCATATGGCTGTTAAGAAATCATCTAAATATTTAAAACCACCTTATAAACTCTACATAAATGTATATTTGTAGAACCTCTCCCATACCCACCACTTGAGAATTCTCTAAATTGATGTGAATTAATTTAAAAATCCATTTATTTATTTAAAGAGACTAACCTTTCTTCTCTGAAGAAAATAAAACAAAACCTGTGTTGCAGATGAAGCAGATACTGTGGATGGTCAGCCCAACTGTCACTTCTTCTTTCTTTCTTGCTGGGAAAACCCTAGCTTTGTTTGGGCCACCCACTCTTCTCCACAAAGCCCTATGCTTCCCTCGGATAATCACGACACCGCCATGGCCCTTGCAAGTGATTCATTTAGGTTTCCGCAGTGGTACAGAGAAGAGACTTTCCTTTTCACCCACTGGATGCTGGCTGTGATGTCTGGAACTACAACAGCCATACTGTGAATGTGAGGTGGGCTGGTCCCTGAGGGCAAACCTGACAAGCTGAGAATTGCGGAGCAGAAAGATGGAAAGGACCTGGCTGAGCTGCTGAATTAACAACTCCAGGGTCACTCAACAGTGTCTCATTATGTGAGGGTCTTATTATGTGAGGTAATAAATTTTCTTTACTGCTTAAGCCATATTGAGTTGGGTTTTTATGTTTCTTGAAGCTGGAAGCATTCTGATACTTGAAGTAAAAATTTAGTAGCAGGGATGCCTGGGTGGCTCAGTTGGTTAAGCGGCTGCCTTCGGCCCGGGTCAGGATCCCAGGGTCCAGGGATCGAGTCCCACATCGGGCTCCTTACTCGGTGGGGAGCCTGCTTCTCTCTCTCTCTCCCTCTGCTTGTGCTCTCGCTGTCAAATAAATAAAATCTTTAAAAAAAAAAAAATTTAGTAGCAAGCTAGATAAATCCATTCATCTTTTTCTATGTATAAGAAGTGAGGCTCTAATTTCCCAAAACCATGGCTTTTGGTTTTCACAAAGAAACAAAATTTTAAGAAAAACATATACCAGTATGTTGCTGTAGAGTTAGTTAGCATTATGTTTTTATATAAAAGGCAACAGTTGTTTTCTAAAATAGTTTTGGAGCAGAACTTTCTTATTGAACCACCCCAAATCAGTCAGATGCTGAACTGAAATTAAATGTCGAGCACAGGGGTGCCTGGGTGGCTCAGTTGGTTAACCATCTGCCTTCGGCTCAGGTCATGATCCCAGGGTCCTGGGATGGAGCCCCACATCGCATCATCGGGCTCCCTGCTCAGTGGGGAGCCTGCTTCTCCTTCTCCTTCTGCTGCTCCCCCTGCTTGTGCTCTCTTGCTATCTCTCAAATAAATAAAATCTTTTTAAAAAAATAAATGTCGAGCATAGCATAAAATCCTTCTGAATGACTTATCTAATTCTGGATATGGCCACTGAAATACTTTCAAGTGTAACATGAACCAGCAGACAGAACAGTTTGGAGCATTAAAACCTCAAGGCAGACATTTAGTGAGAGGTATATGTGGGACGATCACTGAGACTAAAATAATTTGGTCTCGGTCTTCCTCACCTTACCTTATTCTACCACCCTTGATTCCACACCAATTTTAATACCCAAAAAGATGCCTGATCCTTCCCTTTTGAGATTTTAGCTTCTCAGAGTCACCCAATTTGCATTAAAATTTTAATCTCATCCCCGTCTCTCCTGCAAGGAGGAAGAATACTAATATTGTGTGTCAGTGGGTGAAACTCTGTCTTAAAGATCCAGATATGGATGTGTCTCCATCCGGGTGATGAAGCTAATCCAGCATCAGAGTCTGGATTAGTCATCTTATTTGCTTCCCTTTCCTTCCTTGAATGGAAGGAAGTGTGAGAAAATCAAAGACTGGTCAACTGAGGGAGGGAAGATCAAGCAGGAGGTCTCACACCTGCTTCAGTTTGATGCTTAACTGTGCCTCCCTTAATAACGCCCCACTTACTAGAATCCACTGCTTTGGGTCCCTGGGCACAAGGTGCAGGTGGTAGCAGAGTACTATTTTTACATGTGTGTCATTGGCTTTTTTCTTTGGGAATGTTGTAGGAGTGAGTTTGGGAATGTGAGCTGTGATTTGGGGAGGAACAAGGGGTTCCTGGTTTCCTCAGCTCAAAGCTGTCCTAAGAGTACCCAAATCTACCACATCTAATAAAATTCCTATTATCTTCTTTAAACCATGAGCTGAAGCTTCCCGTCCTTCAGATACTTCCCCTGATCAGTTCATTTATATTCAATACCCTTAACATTTACGTAATGAACTAGACCCTTTGGGTTGATGTTGATGATTCTTCTGGATTCACAGGTGTATGTGGAGTCATGCTAAATAAATGTAAAGCTCCTAGCCATTCCATACCCCTCCTCTCATGCTTTGAAAATGGCAAATAGCTAATAACATTTTAAAACAACTCAAAATGGGGGCACCTGGCTGGCTCAGTCGTTAGGCGTCTGCCTTCGGCTCGGGTCATGATCCCGGGGTCCTGGGTCAAGCCCCGCGTCGGGCTCCCTGTTCCTCGGGAGGCCTGCTTCTCCCTCTCCCACTGCTTGTGTTCCCTCTCTCGCTGTGTCTCTCTCTGTCAAATAAATAGAATCTTAAAAAAAAAAATAGATCAGAAAGGTATGTAAAAACCAACCCAAGACCAACTTTCTTAATTAAAAAAAAACCACACACACACAAAAACCCAAAACTCAAAATGTAAAGTTTGCCTAATAATTTAAACACATAGGTAGACATATCATAATAGGGCCTCTAGGTGGTTAAGTGTCTGCCTTCGGCTCAGGTCATGATCTCAGGGTCCTGGGATGGAGCCCTGAGTCAGGCTCCCCACTCGGCAGAGAGTCTGCTTCTTCCTCTGCCCCTCCCCACCCCCCTTGCTCTCTCTCTCTCTCTGAAATAAATAAATAAATAAACAAACAAATAAATCTTTTAAAAATTATAAAGAAAAAAGTGACTGCCCTTCTGCCCTAAATGACCAAAGGAAGACAATGAGAGATGATTGTATATTTTGTTTAATACTTGCATTGTTTCTATAGCGCAATTATAGCAATCTTTAAATTTACTTTTCATTACAAATGTTTTGTCAAGTTTTGTTTCAGAAACATTTTTCCTACTCTCTTGCACATGCACCCAGACACACTACAAAAAAACTCATTCATAACACAGTAAGGGCAAACATTATTCATGTAAACATCTTTCATTAATTTCCCATAATTTAAAAAAATCATAGAATTATAGATATTGAATAAGGCTCATAGATTTAGTTCAAATTCCACAAAAGACCAATCTTTTGTTAACTGTGATGGGGTTAACTTTTTGTTGCAATAAATGCTGAAAGCCTACCCCTAGGTTCCAATCCTTAAACATACCTCACAACCTAATAAATGCATTTCAGGATAAAAAGAGAACATAGAAAACCCAGGAGGAAACCTTTTGAAGGAGGGAGCTCAGACCATGAACCTAATTTCTTCCATGATAAGCAGGCATTACACATCCCTGTGGTTTCCCAATACAAGAATCGAGGTTAATTATAGTAACCCAAAATATAACCAAGTTGCTATGTTAAGATACATTGGCATGTGTGTACATATTGCTAGTAGACACAGTGAAAATTTTGTCATATTTATCATTTCATTATATCCAGGACCAAAGCAGAGGGGGAAAAAAAAAAAAAAACCCCAAACAACAAACCAAAACAACCCACTCAAGTTGAATACCATTATAAAGGAGTGTTCTAGTAACATAAGAGTCAGGAGAGTTGGGAGGTATGTCCCAGAGATGCGATTGGTCTTGCTAGTACAAAGACTTCTAACAACAGTGTGTAAAGTCACAGACAGAGGAAGCAAGGATTTGCGTTATCCGAGGACGTCTCTCTCTGGTTGGAAGCTTGGTGCTTAGGTCCATAGTCTCCCAGAGCTGAGACAGGAAATGTACTGTGCTGAGAAATGGGCCCCTTGCCAGCCACTCCCTCCCTCCTTCCTCTCTGTGAGGTGGAGGCCAGGAGGCCGGGACTGCTGGCAAAACCGTGAAGTTCCACCCTGGGGTCTGAACCCCAACTCCACTGAGGGCAGCCTCCCTGACGTGTGTGACTAGGCAGTAAGGGTGGCGGCTGATGGTGGCCAGAAAACCCAGCTCCGAGGGTCGCGCGGCCACGTGGCTTCTGATTCTGCTGCCCTGCAAAGGAATTGTGCTCTGGATAACTGCACCAGTGTCTCAAATGCCTCTAATTCACTCGCAGGCCCTCGGAGGCCGGGAGTGATGTCACTTAAAGGTGGACACACCTCCATGAGCACCTAACTTACACCAGGAAGCGGCGCAGGCACTGGGGAAGCCTATGAGCTCTCTCCGTGTCCGATGCAACGACGCAGGGAAGTTGCCATGAGTCAGAGTTATTTGTAGGCTTTTGATTTTTAAAAATCAAAACTGATCTGCATTATAGCTCAATAGACTCAGATAATTCTCACCAAAAATTTTGTAATTTGTTTAAATAGCACTGGAATAATTCGACTTCATTTAAATATATTCATTCTACCCTGAAAATATTTCATACAAACATCTATTTACATACAAACACATTAAAATTTGTGAAAAGGGTTTCCACCCCTGTGGTTGTATGGCTTGAAATAGTTTCATTGCTTTGAATATGTATGCACACATTTGGCAAAATAAAACTATTAAAATTTAGTACTTTTTTAAAATAAAAAAGTGACACCAAGGCTCCAAATTCCTGAAGGGAAAGATCAAAGAAAAAAACGGTCTATCAAGGTACCTCAAGTAGATGCAAATTTAAGATACCTTGTGAACCTTTGATCTGTGGCAAATAAACATTGCAACTATCAGTCTTGCAACATAGTTTCGCTTGTTTTTCTCAAAGAAAAGATGTCTGGTTCTAAATCACCACTCTTAAGACAGAAACTTGAGGCCACGCTTTTTGGAACAAGGCAAAACAGAAAACTATCCCTTCTTGGAAGATCTTAGATGCGCTCTGCCGTGAGCGATTCAAGATTTTATATATTAAAGGAAAGTTTCTAAAGTGCCACACACTGGCTCCCTAAGAAGGCAACCCCTGAATTCACTGCTCACAGTCACTGCCATTTTCATAGTTACCAGTACGGGCTGTAAATGGCGACACCTGCCTCCCTGTTGGCCTTTCCAGGTTGTTGGCGATAAGGAAATCCTTTCTCAAGCGTGAAGAACCCCCAGAAGGCAAATAAACCGAACGACACGCCCCAGACAGGTTCAAAGAGGTCTTGAAAAACCAATTTCCTTCTTCCTGTCTCACGCAGACCGGCGCGAAGCAGGTTCGGAGGAGAAGAGGTACCGCAAAGCTCCAGTCCCCCCCGCCCGCTGCCTCTTAGGCTCCTCTCTGCCTTGGGTCAGAGTCCGTCCTTACGGCGCTTCGGGCTCTGTCAGTCCATCCAAACGTCCACGCGGGGACACGGTCCCACAGCTTAGTTCCTACTGCTAGCTCGAACACGAGACAGTATCTCGTCAGGAAACGCTGCTCAGGGAAGACCCAGTCACGCAGCAGTGGGCTGAGGCAGCGCGGCGCGAGCCTCCTCGGGGCCGTGGCCTCACGCACCCGCGCAGGCGCCCGCGCTCTTTGGCCGAGCGTGAGCCGCTGCCTTCGTTCCCCACCGCGCGGACCCTTCCGCGGCTGCGCCGCGGTCATCGTGCGCACAGAACTGCCAGTCGGCTGCCTCCTGCCGCGCTTCCTTGCACAGCGCGTAGAAAGACTCAGTAGACAAGTACATCCTGAGGCTTCCCGCCCCGGGGCTTCGGCTCGAACACGGAGAAACCCTTCCCTCCTCACCGGCTAACTCCTTATGGAACCTCAACGCCCGCGACGTCCTCACCTACCCGCGCGACACGGCGACTCTCAAGCCCCCTCGGGGGCCGCTCTGTGGCAAAGCCTTCCCTTTGGGAGTGGGCGAGGGGCGGGGGGCAGGCGCCACAAAGCCCGGCAGAGACCCAGGGTGAAGGCACAGAGGTGCGCACAGAGGGCCTAGCAAGAGAGGAGAGGCGCTCAGAATGGGGAGGGAGGGCGGAAGAGAGCAAGAGACCAGCTGGGCGGGGACATCAAGCCATTCTCAGAGGCGAGGGAGAAAGCGGGAAGAGATGGGACAGGGCAAAGAGGAGCCAGAAGACGCAAGAAGAGAGGAGGGAGAAAGACAGAGAGGCTCAGCTTGGGTGTCCTGTTTCCTCTGATTTGTCTGAAGGTCGCAGACACACTGCTGGGTTTTAAACCGAGTGCTGTCGTTCAGCATCTAATTTGAAAAATGGGTTAGTTGGTTAATTACTACCTACAACTCTTCAATCCCTATATCAAAAGAAAGAAAGGAAGAAAGAAAGATTCCATTTGAGTGGGGGGTAATCAGAGTAACCCAGGAGGACAGAAATGATACCCCTACTGCAGCCTCAACAAGAATGACACCACCACCAGGAACGAAATCATTCAAAGCGTAGCTGTGTTGGAAGTGTGACCTGCTCCATCCTGACCTCGCTCACTGACCTGGCTCCACGCCCCAACTGACCGGGGCTACTTTAATTAAAGCCATCTTTCTCCTGAAGACAGGCACTTGCTTTGGGACGCATTTGAATTAAAGCACCCATCAGAATACAAGTCCCGAGACTGCCCATCTGTCACAGTTTACAGAACCGTCTCTTTCTACAGAACAGAAGCTATCCTATCATCTAAAAACCCTACTCGGTTCCCTTTGTGGGAGATCCTTCTGGCAGCCCTGACAACTTCTCACGTGGGAACCGTCAGCTTCCCCCCCCCCCCCCCGCCCCCCGAGACCACTGCCAGCTAGCTGCACGCCTTGCACTGGCCATGTGCGCTGGCACCGTGGCGGGGGGGGGGGGGGGGGGGGGCCAGGGAGGGGCTCCGGGAAGCCTGGCCCTGCAAAGGAGGGAAGGGCCCCCTTCTGTCACTGTCTTGAGGGCTGAATCCTGTGCCCAGGGGCCACCCGAACAGACAGCTGTGAGCAGCCCCCGGTCAAGCACTTTTGTTAAATTCTTCCTAAGAGCGACGAGTACCTTGACGAGAAATAGCAAACTTCCTTCCTGCCCGTTTCTTTACTCTTCTCTGCTCGGCCAGAGCTCCCTATGGGCTGTGGCCTGGAAGGCGCTAGCTTTCAAGGCCACACTGGCTCAGGCGACGGGTGCTCCCACTGGCAGCTGGGGCTCTCCACCGCTTCCGGCAGCCTTGTCGAGGCATCTGAGGAAGCCACAGCTACGGCATGGGGTGAGGGTGCCTACAAAAGCCCCGAGCTCGCAGAAATCATTCAGAGCCATCTCAGGTACACTACACACCTACCTAGCAGTTAAACTAAAAAAACGGGGGTTTTCTCCTTATTTCTGCAGTTGTGATTACACGTGGCTTGCAAAATGGCTGAAATGCTAGTGGTATCGTTGCTTTTAAACTATACAGATGTTATTCTTAATTCACAATGCTTTGAAGCAGGTAAGTGCTTTGGAAATATGACAATGAAGGGTTTTAGCACTAAGGTTTGATTTGCACCTAGTGATCAGTATGTCTCTCCTAACAGTAGCAATTAAAAAAAAAAAAAAAAACCCAACTTTAGAATTCTG